GTGCACGAGCGCATTTAAAAGTGCCTGGTTGGTCATTAGTCTGAAAAGAACTTCTGACCAAAAAATTGCCTATGTTTTTGTCGCGTTTGAATGAAATGAGTGGAGGCTACGTATGCTAGTTCATTAGTACGTTAGTATGTTAGTACTTGTTACGTTAGTGCTTGGTAGGGAAAACTCATCATGGCTTGTTGGCCATCTCTTTAGTACGTTAGTACTAGGTACGGACAACTCATCATGGCTTGTAGTTCATCTCTTTAGTTCACTAGTACATTAGTACTTGGTACGTACAACTCATCACGGCTTGTAGTTCATGTCTTTAGTACACTAGTACGTTAGTACTTGGTATGGAGAACTCATCGTGGCTTGTAGTTCATCTCTTTAGTACATTAGTACTTTGTACGGACAACTCATCACGGCTTGTAGTTGATCTCTTTAGTACGTTAGTTGTAGGTACGGAAAACTCATCACGGCTTGTAGTTCATGTCTTTAGTACGCTAGTACGTTAGTACTTGGTACGGACAACTCATCATGGCTTGTAGTTGATGTCTTTAGTACGCTAGTACATTAGTACTTGGTACGGACAACTTATCACGGCTTGCAGGTCATCTCTTTAGTATGCTGGTACGTTAGTACTTGGTATGGACAAAATTATCATCACGGCTTTTAGTTCATGTCTCTAGGACGCTAGTACGCCAGTAGTTGGTACAGACAACTCACCACAGCTTGTAGTTTATGTCTTTAGAATGCCTAGTACGTTAGTACTTGGTATGGACAACTCATCACGGCTTTTAGTTCATGTCTTTAAGACGCTAGTACGTTAGTACTTGGTACAGACAACTCATCACAGCTTTTAGTTCATGTCTTTAGTATGTTAGTACTTGGTATGGACAACTCATCACGGCTTGTTGTTCATCTCTTTAGTACGCTAGTTCGTTAGTACTAGGTATGGACAACTCATCATGGCTTTGGAAGGTCTTTTACTCAGCCGTTAGACCTATATATTTTATCTTCTTTTTAAACTGATTATTTCCTAAATTTATAATTCCTTTGCATAGGTGTAGATAAACAAATAAAGGAAAGATAAAATTTGTACGTTTATATTGGGCAAGAACAGCACAACTTAAACAAGTCTTGTAAAATCGGCTTAATTTTAATAGTACCTTAATCATCCGTACTAAGTGAAAAACAAGAAAATAGCAATCCTATTTTGGGCATGGTCTAAATAGCTTCAATTGCAACAGACTTGCTCTCATCATAAAGTGGTGTTTCTATGGGAGCACACTCTTTTATGTGAAGGTGTAGTCTGATCGTCCGGGTGAGTGTAGTCCTGAGAAGGACTGTTGTCGGTGGCAGTGACTGACGTTTCGACAACCTGTGCGGAAGTCATCATCAGAGTCACTCTTTTATAGTGTTTTGAACTTTGGTAATATCAAACCAGGCCACAACATTACACCTATTATACACTGGTCAGATTGTGCAGTTAAAGTATCATTAGTATATATAAAAATGCAGTTCCAATGATGGCTAGAAGATCTTCTCGCATTAGGGTGTTCCTGAGCAGAGTAGGTCGCTATGGAAGCAAAATTGTCATGCTCATGTAGTGAAACACATTTAGTAAAGTTTACTTCAAAGAATTAAAAATTGATTGCATGCATTTTGATTATACGAATGTGTGTTTGTTTTGTTTAACTTACATATTGCAGGGGAGCAATGTTTGGGAACAGCATTTATATAAAATCTGTAACAAAGCTGTTAAATACATGCAAGTGGTACATTACAGCTGTCACTCTTTGAAAGAACATTTGATTTCATTTACCAGATTATGCTTGGGCTTTCCTCACATGAACCCCATTTTGCCTTGCTGCGAGAAGAGGTGAAATTTGGAAAAGCCTCAAAAAGGTTAGCTAAATTTAAACATTTGATTTAATAGTCAAAGAAAATAATATGAACAAAGAATGTGTATTTGGAATTTACCTTTTACATGGAAGGGATAGTTGTTGCATGACCCCTTCTGAAACTTTTTGTTTTGTTGCTCAACTTTGATGAATATTACTTTTAGCAACTTCACTGCACAATGTAACTCCTGACTTATTTTAAAGAATAAGAATTTAGGATGATCCATCTTCCTTCAAACTACTCTACAAGTTGTTACAGAGTCTAATCGTAAACTTGTCTAAGGTCATGAGTTGTAGTGAGAGTCTTTTGTTAAGACGAGAAAAGCATAACTGAAATTGCTATCAGTTGACATGTTTGGCTGGACTCATTGTTTTCATTATTTCTTGGTTGTTAAGATAGGGGAATGTCACTCCATGATTAAAGTAATAATTATGTCTGAACTGTTGAAGGGTGTTTACTTTTATGACTAGAAAGTTTTTTACCCTTTTATATGTAGCACCTGTTTTCCACATTTATACCCCTCTCTAGTTGTTGATGTTGAAAATATTTCCTGTTATGTTCCTCACTTGCAATTTTAGAAACAACTAATTTTTGTATGTTTATTCTTGTACTGAAGATTACACTTAATTGACCCTTACACTAGGGATCAGTCGTCTTGCATCAACTGCCTTGTTTGTTTTTTGCCTTTTTTCTTGGCAGAATAACACGGCCTGAAAAGACAACTTTCCATCTTCTTCAGCTATCGTTGTTCAGAGAGTACCTTGACTGGGAATTCAATGAATTAAAGGTGATGAAAGAGTATTCTAAACTTGTAGATAAAAGATGATTTTGACATGCAGCCTACAAAACTGCTTGTTATTTAATAATCATTCTCATAAAAGTAACTCAGAAAATTTAAACCATAGGTATTTGCAGTTAACAATTCCATAAATCAATGCAACTTTCATTTATTTTATACCTGAATTTTCCAAACTAATTTTTTTGTTCTTGAACATTGAACAAAGTTTTTAATTCTTTTTTAAATAAACTTTCAATTATTCTTTGCAAGTCCCATGAAATTTTGCATTTGTACCATACATTTCACAGCAGAAACCTGAGTAGTTTAATGATTAAAACTGGGTTAAATCCCCTTGTGTCTAGCTAGGCTCAAGGAATCCGATGAATGAAAGTCGTGTTAAATCCCCTTGTGTCTAGCTAGGCTCAAGGAATCCGATGAATGAAAGTCGTGTTAAATCCCCTTGTGTCTAGCTAGAAAAAGTGCATCACTTGATTTCAGCTTTCAGTGAAAGAAAGACAGTATTTTGCATGTGCCATTGCAGCAAAAAAAATTAATTTAAAAATACATTTGACAATTTGATAATTGAAACTGAACAGAGATTTTTCATGGATTGATTGTTGTTGGATGAGAACAATACTTTCCGGATGATCAGTGAAGAAGTAGTCATCTTGATATTCACCTAACTCAAGTTTGCTTGCCAAACCAGTGCTGGTGTTATATGCAGGCTTATTTTTTTCTTATGTGCTTTCTCATTGACAGGTGTCAGAATGTGACAGATCAGTACTTATTTTAAAAAAATGTTACAAAGTCTGCTTTCCAGCCTTTTAAATAACCATTATCACCATACAGTTAAATATGTTTTAATTTGCTTTTAATTAGCGTTACCTCTCTTTTCTCTTCAATCTACATCCAAGACCTTGGACACAGTTTTTCCCAATACAGACCTTCCAGCTGATGAATAACACTTATTGATTACTGTCTATTTCACAGGATAAATTGCAGTTTCCCTATGACCTGGAAAAAATAATTGATGACTGGATTCTTATGGGATTTCTTGTTGGAAACGATTTTATTCCTCACTTACCAAATCTTCATATTAATCATGTGAGTTGGGAGTTTCACACTTAGAGACAACAACTATTACATTTCATTTGTGTGACTGTTATGCCAATTTTTTTCAATTTCTGTTTGATTAAAGTCATAGAGTGTCACATCTTTTACTTTATTTCAGGGTTAAAGTATGAGATGTGAATTTACCATTATTGTGTTGTGCCAATACATAATTTTACAAGGCCAGAAAGTGGAGTTCTGGTAGCACTATTATTGTTTTTGCCTCTATATGAAATGTATACAAAATCCTGCATAATTTACACGTAGCTGGAGGCATACTTATTTGAGAAATTTAAAGAATAATTAGTAGTATATATGCATGGTGTTATCTCATTTTGTTTACACTGAAAAAAAAGTTACATGCTCAAGGGTTTATTTCCTGGGTATGGTTTCTGATCTTATTCTGGAGAGTTGGTGCCTTCTCTGTACTTCTTCTTTTTGCAATTGCACTTACATAGTGTTTGCTGGACATCAGAGACTTTGAAACTTCTGTTACTGTTATTCTCCTTTTTCATAATTTTTGTCACAGTTTTTCAAAAGTTGTTTTGTTATCAGTCATTCACTTTTGCTTAACATTCTTTTTTGTCACAGTTTTTCTTAAATTTTTGTGTTGTTGGTTGTTTGGTGTTGTTTATTCTTCTTTAGAAAAATTACTTGCTGATGCAAAGAAAGATCATTGTTTGTGTTTGAGACAAAAGTATGTTACAGTTTGTTGATGATTTGGCATGGTTTGAGTTCTGCAAAATTGTATTCTATCAAGTCTCCTGCTGTAAAATTCAAAATAAACAGACAGTTAGAAAACTTATCATTGATTTAAACAAACAGTTATGGTTTTGGTCAGCTGCAAGTTAAACCCCTAAATCTATTCTAATAACACATTCACAACCAGAGCTCTTTAATTTGCCACAGAGGGGGATGTAAAGGAGAGGGAAGATGCCTGGGTTTCCAGCATTGTAGAAGTGTAAGGTTCACTGGTCTTGTTAGATGACATGAGGGGAAGTAATATTTTTTAGATAAACAAATGATTTTGCCAGTAAGAAGTTGGTGGCTGATACTTTGGTGTTGGAAGTCTTTTTGTCTGTTTGACAGAGGCTTGCTGGCTTTTTGAGATTTTAGCTATTTTTTGTCATATATTTTGACACCAGTGAGAGTGGAATAAGAGGTTGATGAAGTCACTTACGACTACTCTTTGTAGCATAGTGTAGCATTTGTACCGGTAACTGTTTCAAGGGGGGATGTCTACATTTGTGTTTTTGCATCTAGGTTAGGTGTTGGTGATCAGTAAACCAAACCAGGCATGTAAGGACAGCAGTATTAGTCCACTGGAGTTGAATTTAACTTTTGTCCAGATGATCAAGGGATTGTTGGGCCAGATGGAGTGTTTTGCACTGGTCAACACACCAACATTCAAGTTGTTAAGGAGGGCAAAACTATTCTGTTTGTTTTGTTGGCTGATAAGACTCTCCCTTTCTCCCCACAAAAGGTTGCCTTGACTTCATCAGTTTTAGTTGTTGTTGGAACATAAGCAGTGATGAGTGTTGTACACTGATCCTTCCCAACCCCCAAATGATTCCTACTGCATTGTCACAAGGACAATTTCTCCAGATATGTTTCAAGTTTTGTGCAAATTTCAAACTCACTTGCTGAAGATCTGGTGTTGCCTTTTGGGATTTCTATTTCACAAGTAGTATAGTCTCTTCCTTTTTCCTCAGAAGGAGTGTTGCTTACAACTCCTTTCTCTTATTTGCTCTGCAAAGTACTTGTTAGTCTTGTAGCAAGCTAGTATGTCAGCAATTAGAGCTGTGAAATGTTGTGACCAGTTTTCTATTTTTGTGAGTCTCTGTATGTTTCACACTGGCTTTAGTTGTGAACAAGTTAGAATGTTCTTAAATTTTTTTTTTTTTTTTGTCATCTCTTAATAGGATGCTTTGCCATACCTTTACAGAGTGTACATTGATCTACTACCCTCACTTGATGGTACAGTATTGTGTACAGAAAAATGTCTTTTCAAGTATCTTACCTTTATTCTCTAGGATCTCTTCTGCATTTTAAGTGGGATAGTCATGAAGGAGCTATTTACATGTACAGCACGCATGTTTGTTTGTTTGTTTGTTGATGTTCTGGAGTTATATTTTTGTTCAAATGTTTTACCCAGAATCAAATCATGTACCCAAAGATTAATCTTAACCAGAAACTTACAACTTAGTTCTCTCTATTGTTTAATTCACATGTGTTGGGTCAAATAATGTATAGAAGGTGGTATTCAACATAAACCAGGAATTTGAACTCCACTTTTTTGTATAAAGTGTGAACTGATTCTTGTAATCAGCATGATTATGTGAATTAGTCAACTCATAAATTATTGTGAATACCTGGAGTTTTTCTAGTCACTTCTCAGACAAATTCTGAAAGTTTCTCTCAGGAGTAGCAAAATTAAAGGTGTTACTGTCTTCAAAATCAAGATTGTCATTAATCTATGAATCTAGTACCTCTTTCAGAGCAAATGGCTACCAGTAGTTGCTGCATTGTCAGCAAGTCAAGTTTTTTTTTTTCACTAGAATTAGAAAAAAAGAGTCTAAGATAAATTGTGGAGAAGTGTTTTTGTCATCAAGATATATGAAAAGAAGCCTTGATTATGCTCCTATTCATAAGAACATACATGTTTAGAACAGTTTGGAAGGTGCTTCCTCTAGAACCCTTCTGAACTCTCTCAGCTTTCTGCGAGCTTTACAGCAGCATGGAGCACAGAGGAAGCCTCTTTGATTGTCAGCTTAAGACCATTTTTATCATTATGTTTTTCACCTAGGTTATCTTCATGACAGTGGAAAGCTAGTATTTCGTAGGTTTGAGAAGTATCTGGAAGCTTTGTCTAAGGTTTGTTTACATTTTGTAAGATGTTTTACGAGTTTTAACAGTGCAGTGTTTGTAAACCTATCAAGTTTGAAGGGCCCAAGGTTAGTTGAAGAGTCTATTCAACTCTAACCCTCAAAGGGTTAGCCACACTTGAATCAGAATAGTGGTGATAAAGTCTAATAATATGTAGTGTGGTTTATTAATTTTGATATCACAAACAGAACAATGACGCACCGGTTTCAATGAACTGAATCAAATCTGCATAAAGGTGTACTAATATTAGTGTGTACTACAATTTATATAGCAATGTAATACAACAAATGAAAGAATCCACCAGCAGTGTTTATGGTAATTGTTCTGCTTTAGATGGGAGCTTTATTAGAGTTGAAGATCATGACAATGAAGCGATGCTTCCAGCATGTCCTGATCCCTACTAATTTGTGAGGTTTGGGGAATAAAGAGAAATGATAGTGAAAATATCAAAACACTTAGAGAAAAAAATTTACCATCTTTTGTATTCTATTTATCAAAATACCTGTTTATTACTTTTATGTTAATTTGTAGTTTGACAGAGAGCAGTTTGAAGAAAAGTTTGTAGATATGAAATGGTTTGAAAGTAAGAAGGGCTTCACATTTGAAAATAACCCTGTGGAGTTTGAGGTACTTGTACTAATTACTTCATCTTTCTGATGTAAAATTCAAATTCTTCACTTTGTTTGTGAAGAAGTTGAATAAATTATCTAGGTGCCTCACCTTGATTAAATTCACAAACTGGTCAACCCTAGCTATTTTGAAGAAAAAGAAGACACACAAAAGGATGACAAGCTTCATGTCTTTGATGACATGCCATTCAAAATCTAAGCACAAAACTGCATTATGGATGAAGCACGAACAAGTTGACACCAGTGCACATGCTTGTAATAAATTTTTGTGAAAGAATCAATTTCTCAGGATTTCAATTAAGTTTGTTCTTCACACTGTTATGGATTATAAACAGAGATCCATTTAAAACATTAATGGCTATGAGAAAATAATTCACTGAGGAGCTCTTCAAGTTTTGGAAACAAAGTAATTATATTTAATTTGTTGAGACAGTCCAGTTTAAGGACAACACAATTGAATCTTGTTTTGTGGAACACTGCTTGACATACAATGTGTAACTTTACTGTTTGAGACTCTGACATCTGTGTGTTATCTTTAGTACAACGGTGTCTGTTAGATAAGAGGGTGGTTGAGATAAACAAATTGAAATTTTTATTTTTTAAGTAATTTGGAGTGAAAAAGTCATCTAGTGATAAAAACTGTTACTTTTTTCTTTAAATGTTTTGGGGTTTTTACAACTACAGGCAGATGAATCTGTGCTGCCTTTAGACAACAGTTTTGCTGCATTAGAGTTCATGCCAGAGGAATCTGTCACTGCAAAGAGAAAACAGACAAAAGTGAAGCTGAATCCAGAAATTGAAAAACTTGCTGCAAAGTTTGATGAGGAACAAAGTGATGAGGATGAAGATGTCTTTGAAACTGAATTTGCTATGCACAAAAGAGATTACTACATACAAAAGTTTGGATATGAAGAAGTAAACAGGTATGGACCCATTTTACAGACCATTGCACCCTTTTTACATAGTTAGAGTATTTCCACCTGGTGGACCTTTTTTCTAGTTAAACCATTTCTACCTGTTGGATCATTTGATGTAGTTAAACCATTTTTGCCATTATAAACATTTAACTAAGTAAGACCATTTTAAGCTGATGGACCATTTTCTATTTTCTACCTAAACTGGTTGGATCAATTAAACCATCTGGACCATTTTCTCTTGTTAGAACAATCATTTTAACACCATTTGGACCATTTTTATGTGGTGAGACCACTTTCATGGGTCAGATCTTTTATCTTTTAGACCATTTTAGTGTTTGGACTATTTTATTTATATTGACTGGTTGGATCCAGTTGAAACCAGTTGAACCATGGGTAATTATATTAAGATGGACCATTTTCTTTAGTTAGACCACTTCTACCAGTTGAACCAGCTTATCTAGTGACTATTTTATTGGATTGAACCATTTTTACCTCTGCATCATTTTATCTAGTGGGGTCATTTTAACTGGTTAGATTATTTTAACCAGCTGTCCGACCATTTTTCTAGTTAGACAATTGTAACCAGTTGGACTCTTTTTTTGTTATCGAGACCATTTTAACCAGTTAGGCCATTTTAACCAGTTGGTCCTAGTTAGACTGATTTGAACCATTTCATCTTATAACCTAAATACCCTCGTACTAAAACCTGCTTACTGTAATATCGCAACTTTTCAGGCCTCATTTTTCACTAGAATTGTAAAACCCTGGAACATTATCTGTAATCTCATTCCTCATGACAAGTTTTCTAGTCTAAGTATATTAAAAACATTTTCTGTGTGCCACTTAAATATAATTTACCTCTCTAGACACTACATATAAAATTGACATGCCCTGCACCTGGTTCCTCTCCCATAACTGCCCTTGCCACCACTTTTAATTTCATTTAGCTTGCACTTTATTGTGCATTATTAGTAATTAATTAGATTTATTGTTAGTAGTTTCGAGATAAAAATTAGTGCTAAAAAAGCTTGACGTTTCAACCTTTCCTCTTTTCAATTGAGTAAAAGTTTTCTAAATTATCATAAAAATGTAGAAAAAGTTGAAATGGGTAAGTGGACACCACCCCAGAGAGCAGCATGATATGGAGCTAGATGACATCACACAAAGTTTTAGAATATTAAGAAAGTGTCAGAACAAATTTGACTGTCTTATTTTTGAAATCTTTTTTTATCAAAGATCTCAAACCAATGCTAAACAAATAGTGTGCTTCAATTCACACCAAATTATTTGTTTAGAGTAGTTCTTGTTATTATTATTCCATTGTTTTTACCTCGTAAGTATTTTTAGCACTTTCTTATTGTATTTTATCACATTTTAGCCTTTGCCACATTTTTACGCATTTCAACTTTTTCTACATTTTTATGCTAATTTGAAACTCTTACTCATTTGAAAATGACCTCAGAGAGGTTGAAACATCATGCTTTTTATTGCTAATTTTGATCTCGAAATTGATCTCTAAGGAATTACATATTGTAGTTTTATTGAAATTTAAATTTCTTATCAGATTTTTAATTAGATTTTGTGCTGCCCCTTGCATGGGTTACTTTTCCCCCTTGTACAATCCCTTTTGGTTCCCTTATTTCTACCATTGATTTGTATCTGGTTAGACTGGGTAGACTATTTTAACCAGTTGTACCATTTTAACTTCTATGGTCATTTTTACCCATTGCCCTTTTTTTCAACGTAAACCATTTTAACTGGTGAGGTCATTTTAACCAGATGACCCATTGTCTCAAGTTAGACCATTTTGTCCCAATTGGAGCATTTTTCTCTTGACTCAAGACTCATGCCACTATCACTTTAATGTGTTTTGCCATTGACTTTGTTTTAACATGTTATCTGCAAATACATTGTCAGTTTGAATTGAATCAATATTTGAAAGATGTAGTATTTCTATAGTTAAAGTAAACACTGGCACACAGATGTAACACTTGGAAAGTTAATCTAGGTGAACAAGAATTACAATAATGTTGTATCAATTCATTCAGCCCAAGTAGTTAGTGGCCAGAGTACAATGCCTCCTTTAGTTTTAGGCATTTAGTTGTTTTGGCTCAGTCTTGAATCTTAGAGTACTCTGCTCTGCACATTTGCTTACAGTTATGGAAAATTCACAAGTGCTTGTTACATGAGAATTTTTCTTCTCCCTAGTGGAAAAATGGCGATTTGTCTCACTAAATAAATGTAACAGGAGTTATCGGTACATTCCTAATTCAGATTGAAAATTAACTTTACAGAGATGTCCTTGCTGAACTAACCTACCAGTATGTGACAGGAATTCAGTGGATTCTTTCGTACTATTTCAGTGGAGTGCCATCGTGGAGTTGGTATGATGATTATTGTGGTCAAATAATTTTTTCATTTTTGCTTGAAATTGTTGTGAAAAACTGTATGAAGAAAGTCTGTTGAAATAGTGTTGCAGAACTTAAAGAAAAACAAATTTCTTGAAACCCCATCCTGTCTTGGTTGGGTTTCAAACCTGCTGAAGTCGGATTATTTGGGAGTGACCTACAACCAATAAACTTTTTTTTTCAATTCTTGCATGCCTAGGCAGTAGATAAATGGAGCAACCTTGTAATGTCCACTACTAGACCTGTGCAATTTATTATCTAACTATTCCTGTAACTTGATTGACTGAAAAATCCGTAAAAGTAACTTATGCTGTACTGTAATTTACATGTCCTGCTTTATTTGGTGGAACAACCGACATGTAATAACAATAAGTACTAAGGAATCAATCTTTGGCTTTTTTGTAGGTTTTTTCCTTTCCATTATGCTCCGTACATGTCAGACATTAGACACTTCAGCAGTGTAGAAATCAAGTTCAAACTGGGAACTCCTTTTCTTCCCTTTGAACAGCTACTTGCTGTGCTACCAGCTGCAAGCAGGCAGCTTCTTCCAAAGCCTTTCCAGGTAAAGATAATTAAATCAACCTTTGTTAGGGGATATGAAGATATTTTCACACACACACACACACACGCACGCACGCACACACACACACACACACACACACACACACAAAATTTACTTGTCAGGCAAAGATGTTCACCACCAAAGTCTTCTCCTTCTATTTCTCTTAAACCTGAAACTTGTCTTTTCTGGTGACTGTGGTGAGGCTCTCTTATAATCTTATCTGCACATTTCATTAGCCAGGAGGATGGCTTCCTGGGTTGGCTTTTCTTACATAATTTTCAATTATTATTATTTGTATACAGTTCTTTATTACACGACTCGGGAAGTCAGGGGGCCAATAACTAAAATCAACCAATCAAAATGCTCTATTGCCGGTCAATGTTCTCTCAGTATTGGACCGGGCACTGTCGCAAAATGGTCCCGAATGATACGTCACTTGTGTCCCTTTGAACTTCAGTCGTGTAATAAATCTCTTATTAACCAAGCTTTCTTGGGACCGTACTGGAAGAATATCGGCCCTCAGTCCGTACTGTCAAGACCTCGGGCCGATATTCTCCCAGTACAGCCCTCGCGCTTGGTTAATAAGATATATATATTAAGTCTTAATTGTTACTTGTCATAGTTATCAATTAGTATTAATAATTAGTTGTATTAGATGAAGAACCAACACAATTGGATATGTTGTCAATGGACCACTACATGTACTTCCTTTCTTACACGTATTCCATCATTTTGAACCCCATACTTCAGCTAAAATAAAAGTCTGCATCTTTGAAGATACAAATAGGCAGAAACTTTTCTTGCATTGTTACTCTGACATTGGCAATTATGATTGGCATTAAAAATGAAAGATATATCTAAATTGAGATGTTCAAGAGTAGCTGGCATGTAAGTCTTTTTGATTTTCAAGAGAAGTTGTCTCTTAGTGGAATGAAAGAATAGACTTCAGTGTTCTTTACATGACAACTGGTAGGGAATTTGGATTTTTGATGACAAGTGCTTTTAGTTTGAACTTTTGAGAAAATGTTTATGGAATTTTTTCTTCAAAATTGATGACCTTTACCATATTCTAACATACCTTGTACAGTATGTGGTAGTGTGAAGAACAAAAAAGTTATCAAAATGTTAGTACTAATGTTTGGCAAAATCAAAATAATATATTAATGAAGGGTAGGGATGAGAGTGTATGATCAAGGTCATTTGAAGTTAGAGAAATGAGATTTAAATTTTTGTTGGGAAGTTGCTTTAGTTCAAAGTACTAGGAGTTTAAAAAATAAAAACAAGAGTGCAAACTGTACAGTAATACTGGGGTAACATTAGTGTCTCACAGAAGCAAATCCACAAGGGGAAAAAAGGGTCCAAAGTAGCAGGAGTTTAAAAAAAGGAGTGTTCCAAAAATCATGATTCAACGTTAATGATTTGCATTAAACACTAAGGTCTGATTATTTAAACAAAGTTTAGCCATTGTCTGCAATGGCTAAATGTTAACATCCTAAGCAATCCTCAATTTAGATGAACCTTTTAACTGAGCATTTATTTTTGTGAACAGTGTCGAGAAAGCAGAAAGCTATCAGTAGGAAGGACTTTTGATTCAATAAATCAATCCTCTTGTTGAAAAAGCCTGGAGCACACTGATTGCATAAAACTGCAGTTTGGGTTAGACGTCATTTAAAAAACCAGTTCTAAAGGATTTGTCCCAAAGAGATGAATTCATTTTGACTATTGGGAATGTCAATTTTTTCAGAGCTGAGGGACATTGAGATACAAGGGAGACAAAATGAGCTGTTTCTCAAGGAACCAATCTTTAAATGTTTGGTGATAAAGCACCACCCAGACATAAAAGGGTGAAATATGAAAATAGAGAACTAATTCATTTATTAATTACATGTAAGAACACAAGAGTACAAAATACCTCAATTCTAAAATATACTTAAAGTATATCTTTTCCATGCCACCTTTACACCACCTTCAATAATGGTGGATTGTAAGCAACAACAGTTGCCAGCCAACATTAGTGGGTAACAGTGTTGGATGTCACAACATTATTTTGAACTGTTGCTTTCTCAGAGACTTTTAAACAAAAACATTTCATTATATTAGGTTTCATGTTACCTCAAGTAACCAATTAGAGCATGGGCTGCAGGGAAAATAATTCCAGCCATAGAAAAAAAATCTAATATCTTTTTCCACAGAATTTGATGATCATGGAACAGTCTGATATTATTGATTATTATCCTGTGGATTTCAAGACTGATTTGAATGGTAAACAACAAGAATGGGAAGCTGTGGTGCTTATTCCTTTTATTGATGAGGTCAGTATGAGTATCAAGGTTGGGATGCACAAGATAACAACTTAAGACAAAATCAGTGTTTATGGAATTAAGCTGTATTCAGAGTAGATTTCCCACCACCAAACTGAGGATAAGTACTGATTTTTGGGGCTATTTTAGTTAGAGCCTTGTTTTCATACTGACAATTGAAAATTACAGGACCTGGTTTTTTTAAGAAGAAATCTTTCAATCTTTTTGTTCTTCAGTGTGTTTTTGTGTCTTAAGGCTTTGCTGAGGCTTTGGACTAATTGAAAAATATATAATTTGCAAGATTAATGTGGCCAAGTTTCTCCTAAAACAGAAATGACATTTGGTTGACACTGCAAAAGGACCAATTTCATATTTTTTGAGGTCATGTGATGAGTTACGTGACTTTGAGTGCTCTCATGTGCAGCTATTTTATTCAACTCTGGTTGAGAATTGACAGTTTTAATGCTGTTCATGGACAGATGCTTGTTTTTATGTTGAATGTCAGGCTGACACAATTGATTCCCTATATCTCCTTCCCTGACCACAAATCAATTGCATGTACAAAGGACCTCATTTTAAAGAGTAGACATTACTCTATAAGAATATATCACCATACCTTTTCTGTGAGGTGGGTTGTGCATTTTTCTATTTTAGGGGGACTCTGCTCCTAGGCTTTGATTACTACATGTAGTTTTGACAACAATTCTTATCGTGGCTGTAACAATGCCCTCAGAAGCTTCTGTTATGCATGGGTACATTATACAGATGTTTCCTGTGTTTGCTGAAACTTCATTTCTGTACACAGTATTTTGTCTTTGCATCAAGGCTGATTATTTGGAGTCTCATTGCCACTAACAGGAAAGGCTTCTAAATGCCATGGGGCCTCTGTATTCAAGATTAACCAAGGAGGAAACTTCACGCAACAAGCATGGTCCTTGCATTCTTTACACCTATGATCCAAGCCTTACCTTTGTTTACCATTCTTCATTGCCTGGAAAGTTTTCTGATATTTCCTGTTGTCATGCAAGGTAGCACTTAATGTGTTTCATGGTTTAAGTTTAAATATTAGCCTTCTAGCCTTATAGGAGCCAATTTGATTAATCATTATAGGTGTTTCTTTAAGGTTTTGAGCATGAGAGTGTGCATTTGGAACACAGGCATAGTTAATACAAGGCCATTCAGGGCCTTGCCTCCTAGAGGTGTCCAGGGGCATGCTCCTCAGGAAATGTTTGAAATTCTCATTTCATTTTCCCGAAATCTGGAGAAGAAACTGACAAGCTTTACATGTAGTTGATACAAAGGACATAATTTCCTGCTATGATAGTCTCTCAGGTGCTTGGAAGGCACTAAAATCATGTTGCAGCCATCATTTGCTGGGATCCCAGAAGGCATGGTTTCTGTTTAGGTAAAATGGGATAAAAGAGTTCATGATTTATGGTTTTTTTGTGTGTCAGGGGTATACAAATTCTAAACAAAGTATAAACGACAAAAATGTCATAGTGTTAGGCTGTGAATTATAAATCAGTAGTTTATGATATAAATCAGAATGGAAAAGCTTGATTTGTTATTTACAGTACCAACTTCAACTCAGTTAGGAAGAGGTATATTTAATGAATTTGAATAATGTGAAAATCATTAATTAGTCAGTCAGATTATGTGATGTTTGCTACAGTTTGCCTTGTTTAGTGATCTGCTGTAAATAGATTAAACCTGATGAGCCATTCTTGCAATGAATTACATTACATGTCAATACAATTCTCTAAGGTAAAACCAACACATTTTTTATTTACCACTTATAACATGCAGGTGTGACATGCTTGATAAAGATGCCTTCCATGTTGCATTGCAACACATGCAGCGAGGTAACATTTCCCATATCCAAAGTTATTTTAATTTAAGTGAAACTGCTGAATACAAACCAATTACTGAACTGCCAATGCTTAAGTAAGTGATTTTAAGCTGAGCTTAGGTGCAGCCCAAGTATTATTTATCTAGAATGTACTGGCCAATTCAAAATGCAGTCAGCTTTGTAATTTCCTCCAGTCGAGGCCCACAAATTGACCCTTGCTCACGATAGAGTCTCCAGTAGCTCAGTGGTTAGAGCATCTGACTAGATCACGGAGGGTCGTGGGTTCAACTCCCATCTGGGGCTCGGATTTTTCTATTACACTAAAAAATTGTTTCATCTTTACATGCTCACTTTGGAGGTTGGTTGGCTGCATCTTGATATGCCTTAATGTGACAGCGTGATGCTGTTAGTGAGTTTTCACAGGTGCTTACCAATACTTGGCTGTGTAGCCGCGCGATGCGGTTCCAGTCGAGGCCCACAAATTGACCCTTGCTCACCATAGAGTCTCCAGTAGCTCAGTGGTTAGAGCATCCGACTAGATCACGGAGGGTCGTGGGTTCAAGTCCCATCTGGGGCTCGGATTTTTCTATTACACTAAAAAATTGTTTCAGCTTTGTAATTTAGAATTAATTTTAAACTTTCCAAACTAGAAAAACAAATTTGTGAAGACATACTTGAAATAAAACCATCTGACTTTCTGCTTTTATTAAAACAATATACATGTACTGTTAAAATATGCACAGTTTCCTTAAAACCAAACTTGAATGTTCCATTGTGGTATTTAAGGTTGAAAATGATTATCATATTTCAGAAACATTTGGTGTAATTCATTGTAAATAGTACAATGAAAATAAAATATTATCAGTTTTTTTACAATGCACAGTGTAGTCAGTTGCATGGTCCTCTTCAGGTGATGAGGTCAACTAATTATACAAGTATATCACCTGACTAAGCATCATGCCCTATGGTGATGTGCTGGTTTTCTAAACCAGGATTGGCTTCCAGGGGAAGGGGTTTGTTTGCTCTGAAAGAGAGCTGATTGTCAGTGTTACACACTCTAAAGAAGTTGGATTTTTATAGAATTTGATTTTTGGAAACTTTCATAAGAATGTTGATCTTTGGCAACTAAATTTTCTATCCTAACTCCATCTTTCTTTGCACAGTATATTAACACTTTTTGATGCTTCAGGTCTCTGTGAAGGGGTTAAGCTTGATGTATATTATCCCGGATTCCCCACTTTGTACCATGTTTCACACAAGGTGAGATTAAGAAACATGCAAACCTGTGTATGTGTAGAACTATTAATATACACAAAACTGACAGCAGTACAGCAGATTTTGGCTGGTGATTACTTGATAAAGGGTTACAAATAGTTTGATGGTGATGCAGCAAAATTGCTTGATAATGAGATATTTCCTTCCAAAAAAACAGTTTGAATATACTTGTGATTATCTTGAGTATCAGTGCCACCATTACAAGTAGAGTAGTTGACTTAAAAATCTTGTTTTAGCCATTTTACACTGTCATTTTTCCATGACCTATGTTTGTCATATTGTAGACAGTAAACTTGGAAGCCTTGCTGTGATTGTGTTGCAAAAGACTGGGAACAAAATTTTGATCTCTCTTTAAGGAGGGGGACATGGGGGTTTGTGGTGTTGACCCTTTTTTAATGCAGTATTGTGGTGAAGAACAACTTGCAAAATTGTGGTGTTGCAGTGATCTCAAACCTTACGGTGTATGATGTTTATAAATTCAAACCAATGGTGTTTGATGAAATAAACCATTTCTGGTGTTGCAGTTTATTTGCAGTTTATTCTTTAATCTTTTGATAACCCATGGGTGAAAAGAATAAGCAATACATCCAAGTTAATCTTTAATAAACATTAGATGATTAATCCCAGGCCCTGTTCATTAATATTTTACTTGACCTCTGGATCTCTACCACGTGCACTATTGGCCAGCTGAAGACCAGTGTGTGATAAAGATGAGTGAAATCAAATCTGCTAAATCCTGAGACTTTTTTATACTGCAGTGTCAGTGTGTTGAAAATATTTCTTGTGGTGATGTGGTGTTTGTTTTTTTTTTGTTTGCGGTGTTATGGTATTCAGAACACTTGATGTTCCCCTCTTTTAGCTGGCTCTCTTTACATTCAAGGCTCCTAAAAGGAATTCTACATACTGTGTGTAAAAATGTTATATTTACACAAGGTTTGCATTTTCACTGACAAGGTGCTAGTGTCTTTAATATTAGAATCTTTTTTAGATTTGGGGTAAGGGATTTATTGTTACAGTAGCAGTACTGCATATAATGCCAAAACCTTTTGATTCCCTCAACTTTTTTTCAAAACTTAAGTCCCTTCTGTTTATAATTTTGCAATAACAAAGAGAAGCTCAAAATTGAAGATATCAGGCAAGTGTGCAGTTGAACAACTTCTGCTTTTTATGCACTTGTAAACAAAACCTGTTGCTGATGACAATTTGCTTTTGAAGGCTCAACTCAAGAAGGCAGGAGTGAAGGTTTTTCAGATGCACAGCAAGAGTCACAGTATGATTTTAAATATCATCAAACCCCAAGAAAAGGTACACTTCACCACATATCCTTCTTGGGAAAGCTGTGATAAGGACTGTTTGGGTTTTGATTGGAAGTAATGGCAATGTTAAAGAGTCCTAACTTTTAATAGTTGACAGATGTGTAGATTTTCAGAGGTAAAGTTTAATAACAGAATGGAATGTAATTGTCTCTATACATGAACTGGAATATGTGTAAAAATTGTCACATTATTTTGTGAAGAAGATTATTTTTTATAAGAACACAATCATTTTTACTTTAGGCAAATTTCACTAAGAAATTATATTTGAATGACTTTCCCATGTGCTTTCCTACAATTATCGCTAAATTACATTCTTCTTCCTTTAGGTTTTGTCATCAAGAGTAGCCGAGGACTTTCTTGGTGAAACTTGCTATGTTGGCTGGCCTCATATGGTGGAAGCTCTGGTAGTTGGTGTTTGTGATGGCAGTAAAAGGTACCTGTTTTAATTGAACTTACCACAGAATATTTGGTTTACTTGACAAGCACTGCCATCCATGCACCCTGTACAATCAAACTTGATCAAGGGTACAGTATATTATATTGGTTTTGTTGATATCATTCTTTATTATTTTTTCTAGATACTCTCTTAAAAAGAAAAATCCTCACAATTCTGATAAAGAAGTATTAGACCAGGACTTGAATGAGTCGGAGGTCAAGAGCTGGATTCACCAAATCAAGTCTGCAAAAGAACAGTGAGTGAAAATATAGCAGCGGGATTCCTTTGTAATTTGTGATTTAGATTTCTTCTGAAAACTCACACAAAATTGGGTAGATACACATTTGCTCAGTACTTCTGTACCAGTCTCATAAGCTACTTAAGTGAGGCTGATTGTTCATCATTCTTATTTTTCAGTCAATTAGAAAGAAGAGGAATAGAACTTGGAGAAACAGACATAATGATTGAAGCTTGCCCTATCAGAGGAAAGAGGTCTGAAATATTTACTTTGGTGCTTTCAATAAGATTTGAAATAGGTGTCTACCTCAGTACAGCACCTGCCGGAGAGTGACTTGAGTGCGACTTGAGCGTGGTGACTGTGACTTGAGCACGGTGAAGTATACCTGGCAACTCACAACAGAATACACACCAGAGTTCCGGCGGGTGCAAGGTCTTATTGAAAGTATTGTTCACTTATCCAGGTTTAGGCATAAGATTTGGTTTCATAGAGGGGTCTGAAGACAAAAAGGATAACTCAAACCCTCATGACCAACTGAAAAGATTTGAATTATTGGAAATTTGATTAATAATATTACTAATGATGCAAAAAAAAAAAAGCCAAATGTTGGAAGTAAGACAACTGGTAGAGGTATCTTTTCTCCTTCTTAGAGAAGTCAGGTAATAGAGATCATCATAATCATCAGTGTAACCATAAGCATCTTATATGTTATTGGATACATCATATTTTGACCTATAGATGAGAGAATTGGGGGCTTTGCTGGCTTACTGTAATGAAAGTCATTGCCAAAAATAAAGTGAAAGACCGAGGCTTTAACTGCTATTTCACCCTTGCATCATACAAAGGCACTAATCCATGCAATATGAGTGAGCCACTTGATTATTCCCTGGTTTTCAAGTTTTTTTTTTAATGAGAAACGTGAATGTACAGCACCACTTGAGAGACATGAATGTACAGCACCACTTGCATGTACTACAACTGTCAAACAGTTTGATAAGTGTGAATTATATGTGCTTCAGAGCATGTAATGACTTGTGATTTAGATTTTATAAGACATGTAACTCATTGCACAGAAGATCATTGCACACATGTGACTCTTGTATTACAAGAGTTACGTGTGTGCAATGATCTTCACACAAATGCTTGTATTGAAATTTGTCTTTTGTCATTCATTGCTTGATACTCCTTAAATGCTTTTCTGCAATGGAAAAAATGTGAAGTTGATTATTCAAACATTATTTGCTTAACATTCTGCCCTTCAGTTTATCATACTTTTGTTTTTTTGCTTCCCTTACACAAAGGTTTGAATTGAGCCCCTTGCATTGACCAAGCTTCACAGCATTTAAGATTCTTAAAGCATGAAAAAATATTTTGTGGGAGTTTTTGGTGCTTCCATAATGTCTGTCAGATAAGTCTCAAATTATAATGTATATTTTTAATACAAAATGTTTTTAACATGTTATATTTTGAGTTTTTTTAACATTATATAATTATATTTTTTGAAAAAAAAAAGCTTTGAGAGAGTTTACTGTTCAATCTTATATCTCAATGTTATATCTTTTCTTTTCTAAGCATTATATTATATCTCTTTGATTTCTTGAATCAAGAAATCCTAATTAGGAGGATATATCTTTATTCTAGATATGTATGTGGAGCCAAAGGTCTTGTTACCATGGAAAAAGAATGGTCACCTATGCCAGTCTCGTACCCTTACCAGTTGACCGTTAAAGTATGGCAGCTTTTAACTGATATACTATTTCTGACTGAAGATGTTTTTTTTTTAATTTCTAGTTGATCCTTCATTTCCATCTACTTGTCAAGTGAACTTCCTAGATTTCTTCAAAATTTAACTCCAATTTAAATGTGCAGTGTCAACCTACAAATTTCCACGTTTCTTCTTTCCTCAGCAGAGGGATATGAAGGAAATTTCATTTCTGTTCCTTTTTGAACTTCCATTAAACTCTTGTTCCTTGTTCTTAAGGATATCCATGTTCATGAGTCACACGAGGATGATAAAGTACACACAATTGAGGAACTTTTCCCTATTGGAAGCCAGTGTTTCATGTTAGCATCCCCATATTATGGCACATCTGGTGAAGTGATAGAGATTGATGTGAAACAGTCTCGAGTCAGAGTTCAGCTGCATGTGCCTCCAGAACCTGACTTACAATCTGTGATTGATAAACATCAGGTAGGATTTCTACAACGAGGAGTATGCTTAAAAAAAAAACAATTAACTTTATATCTGCTATTCGAAATAACTTCATACGAGATTTACTTCTTGCTGCAGATTGAAGATTGTAAGAAGTAAAGTACTTTTTTAAAAAGTGTCTTCTATTGTGCTTAAATTTTGACCGTGAAAGTCAATTTGATAAAAACTTCGAAACCTGGCGTTGCACTCATCAGAGGCGGGGATTCACATTGTACTGCTCATGAACAGCTGCAGCCCACATGATGACCAAAAGAAATAATTATTTGAACACCTGCAGGGGTGGCAAAAATATTTACACAAACACACCTTAATGCTGAGATCAAGAAAAGGAAAGGACAGTGGCTGGACACAGTGTTATTGTTTTTCGTGACACGTAGAGTATTTTTTTGCCTGTTGCCACAACATCGAATTTAACAAAATCATTTTCATATTTATTTTTTTTATGATCACAAAACTTAACAGTGGTTTTACAATAGTTAGTGATGAAGTTGTAGAAAGCATCAACATTTTTACAGACATTTTGGTTTAAAATGTCTTTCGTTTCAACTTGTTTAGGCCTTTTCCTACAGTCATCCACTAATCTCCAGGATTTTTCAAGCTGAGCCGGCCATTAAATCATTGTGAGATGATACTTAAAAAATCTTTGAGATTAGTAGAGGCCTAAGGGAAAAAATGCAGGTCTTCACTGGCTGAGACAGAAAAAGTCTCTGAATTTTTATTGGTGATTGAAAAACCAGTGCTTAGGTTTGACATCTCTAAAAGGAAAAGAAAGGGGAAAAGGCATATCAAAATGAGATGTTCTGTGGTGGACATCTAAGACATACAAAAGGAATTAAAAAAATAATTAAATGTCTGGCGTTCATCTATAAAGCACTGAATAATAAACCTTTCGGTAGAATATTTAGGTGTAGTCATATCACATGTGGCTGGGGAATGTGACATTTTGTGTTCTATGTCTTTTGTTATTAGGCTTTGTCAGTAAATTACTTGTCAGCACATGTGGTTGCTATAAAGCTTGGTATAACTACAAACTTGCTTTTAAGAATAACAGGGAGCCTCCTGATTGAAAATGGCTCCAGCAAAAGGTAAGTAATCAAGATCAAGTCCCCCTTTTATCTTTGCATTGATTGTTTCATTTCCTTACTAAGCATGATATTTTACTAAGAAACATGATGCGTACTCCTTTGGTCACGCAAAATTTTCTGTGCAAATGTCTGGTCAGTGAAAGTGTCATACCACGCATTCGAATTATTCGTCAACCTCATACATTGATGATTCTTTTCAAACAACACAGCTAAAGTGCCAGGTCATCTTTCAAATTACAGATTTGCTTTTAATAGCTACATGGCGAAATTCTTCTGTCACGTAGCCGACGCACTGATTTCTTCCTTAACGGAGTGAAGATTTTGCGAGCATACCACATAGATTTAATGTCGCAAATTACAGATTTCCATATTGCAAATAAGTTTTGATTGATTTCGCAAATAACTGATTTTCATTTCGTCTCATTTCGGTTCGCAAATCACAGTAAGCAGTTTCGAAGTAATGGCATGTATCTCCTGGTTGGGCGACATTTTAGTGATAAGTTACAAATGTAATAGATTAGAAGTGCAAAGTTACGCTAAGCTATTATTTGTTCCTCAACATGGATTACTTATAAATGTTGCACTTATTAAGTGTTTTTTTTTTTTCCTGCTTTCAAGTTCATCTGGTGGGACAGCAAAGGTTGATATTGGACTCAACATGAAATTCAGTAAACAGAATAGAGAGGTAATTCCAATAAGGGTCTGTTACTCATTTGCAGAATTCCTCAAGAATATTCACCATTTTTAAAAGGAATTCCATTTTTTTCTTTATTTGTACACGTTAAAAATTCCTTCAGCATAATTTATAGGTAAAACATCTCATTTTGGCCAGCTAATCTAACTAGTGGTATGAGTCTTGGTATAGACTCTTGCACACCTTAGCACCTTTGTATGAAGAAGTTTTTTTTTTTTTTTTTTTTAAAAACCATTGGTAAAGGGTTGTGAAAAAGCCAAGCTGTTTTCGGAATTCCTCAATCGCTAAGAAGTAATGTCAATTTGAAATATGAAATTTGGGAGTCATTCCGTGAATAGTTGTGTACGTCATAATGGATGTAGTTACTAGTCTTTGATGATTGATTTACGCCAAATTGGTACCAGTAACGACTCATCAATATCATGTTCACTGCCTTCAAGCATCGGGGTACGAGCTGCTCGGTTTTAGTCAATATGTCCTCCAAGCGATTTTGCAGATGGAACCTGCATCACTGGATGGTCGTTTGTGCCAAAGATGGAATTTTTTATGCAGTGTACATCCTGTATCTCAACGCAATAAACATCAACTAAGTTTTCGTCCTGTTAAGGGTCAGTTTATCAGCTGATACCCGTGGGTACACCTTAGTTAGATCGTTGTGAGACAGCCGTCGTTACGTCTTAAATCTGTCTTGAAGAAGGTTAGACTGCCGGTGACATCTGCGTACATTCAAGGTTGTGAGAAATTCAAACAATTTGACGGGTTATTGATATACAATGAGAACGGTGAAGGTCCTCAAATAATGCCCTGAGGTGCTCCACATTTAACTAACTTTAGAATTAATTTTTGGAAGTATAATTTTTTAATTAGGAAGCGAACCGTCTGTGTCGTGGGCTGCGTAATCCGTAGTTTTGTAATTTTGACAATAATTTCTCTTGGTATACAGTTTTAAAAGCTTTTTTTTAAGATAACTGCAACATTGACCCAACTTCGATCATTGTTCAATGCCCAACTGTCAATAAATTAAAGTAAGGCAGTTGCGGTAGAATGTATTGAATGAAAACCTGATTGGTGGCTAGAAGGAATTAATATTGATTGTTAGTGAGATAGTGATATAGCCAGTCATAAACGACGTGTGCAAATATTTTAGCCGAGGTGGGGATTAACGATATAGGTTGTTAATTTATGAGGTCATTTCGTTTACCAGAAATTTGTAAAATGCACCGGAGTAACCCTGACAGATTTGCGCTCATCGGAAAAAATTCCATTTTTTAATGACTGATTAACATTTAAATCTGGGCATTCCTTTAACTTCGTCAAAATTTTGTCTAATCCGGTTGCCTTCCAAAGCTTCAAAGGGAGAGACAATATTTGAAGATGAAAATTTTTCAAAGACGAACTTTGGAAAAAGGAAAATTTTCCAAGGAGATGTCGACATTGGTTATATCTCTCTCGCTTGGGCCAATCTCGATGAAGTAAACATGTGTTATTGACCAAGCGTGACGTCAAGATGGCTGGATATTGGCAAACTTCTTTTTCCTTTTTTTACGTTTTTATAGACCTAAACGGGGACATGAGTTCCGTTTACCCCAGATAAAGGCGGAAAGATTTAAAAACATTTTTATGAACAGATGTATTTTTAAATTTATAAGAGCGACTTTTTTTCAAGACCGCGTGAGAGGTGGGAGGGACATCGACCGAAAAATGACTATCCTCATAATTTAGTCAGAGATGCCTTATTGTGAGAATAGAAACGCGGAAAGGTTTTTTTTTCCCCCAGACTTACTTCTTTATCCTAGAAAACTGAAACGAGCGTCGGTAGCGGTAAAATGGCGGAAAGCAGTGCCCAAACTAGAGGCTCATATAAATTTTATAAATTTGTATAGGAAGGATTGAGGTATGGTTTAAGTCTTAAACGGGACCATTTAATTTGGAGATCACGGAACGCTTTTGAAAATCACCAAGATTTCAAAATCCAAATATCGCATTTCGTAACAAATCTTCAATTATCACTTTCTCCATGCGGTATAACTCATAATCGGTTCGGGTTAAGCTCATGATAAGTGGAAATAGTTTTGTTTACGAGGATATAAAAATTAGTTTGGAGCTTTTTATTTCCGCTCCGAAAAACCAGTCTAAACTTTGTGAAAGTGGTATCATCGGCGTTTACGTCACGACATAATCTAATTAGGCACCCTGTGTTTAACTCCGGAATTCCAGGCACATTTTAGCAGTTAGCACCGTGTTCGATCAGGAAATCAATATTATAAGCTAGCCTTCCAAAACTAACGACGACAGATTGGTTTTTGCCCCTGCTTTCTTTTCAATTTCTCTTCCATTTCCCATGGCGAGATATTTTACAATATCACATTCCGTAGGCTAGCGGAGGGCGTCTGTTTTTCTTGGCATATTCGAACACATTAAAGTTTTAAGAAGGTGCTAGGGTAAAATTGAGCTTCACTGTGGAATTGAAGGGGACAACTTAATCATTTATACCGGTGGGTCAAATGTTCTTCGCCGAAGACGTTGAAGACCGGAAGCAATCTGCTACTAGTGTAGATGAAACACACTCAAGCATTTGTCACGCAATGCTGAAATTATTTCAATCTTGTCCCCATCTTGTAATTTTACGGCCACGAATATTGGTGAATAAGGTTTTTGACAAACTTGTCAATGTGATTATTTTTCTTATCAGTCAGTCATCGCTGTGAGACTTGTTAACTTTGCAAAGGGGATCCCATGCAGAATTGTAACTGAATGACGTCACATACTCGGAAGAGCCAATAAGCAGAACACCAAACAACAAATAGCTAGAGCAGACCAAAGGAAAGAGAGGAAAGAAATAAATGATATAGAATAGATTAGGGAAGGAATCAAAAGTCAGAGTAAAGACGAAACAGAGGCAAAGTACAAAAGTTTTGAAATATGAGAATACCAACGTGAACTAGAACTGAGGATAAATGTATAATGAACGGTGTGTTATTTGAAATCACTAACACAAACAAAGAATCATAGCTGAGTTAAGAAAGTTTCTCGTAAATTAAGAGTTTTAGTAACGAAATTCACGGAAATGGAAATCAATCTTTTCAGGCATTAGTTGGGCTGGAAACTGTTCTCAAACTAAAACAACTGTGTCGAGAAAAATATGCTTTTGATACTTAAGCTAATGTCGGCTAATCAGCGGCTATTGTCGTGCCGTAAAGTCATTTCTGAACACCCAAAGGCTGTCAACAATACCGATGTTGAGGCCATAATAGATTTAATTTTAGATCGAGCGCCAGTTCTTAACACACCCTCCAGCAATCGGACTAGATCCCTGTTCCGGTCATCACCGTTCTTTGAGCGTTGGATGAAGGAGAGGGTCACAAAGATGCGGTGCATTCTAGAAGGGTTATCCAGCCATGCTAAAGGAATAACACGCTAGGCTGATCGCAGAATTAGTAAGGCATTTTTTAGAACAATTTTCTAGCAAACTCTTTTTTCAGGTTTTCTTTTCTAAAAGTTATTACCTCGAGGAAGTTTTCCAAAATGTTGCAAAGCGCCGGTCTAGTCAAACTGCCAAAATGGCACGGCAGGTTGTTCAAGATTTTCTTTAACTTTGTGGTTTGCTTGCAGAGACTTCACGAGGCAGCCATCTTTATTACGGAGGCTGTGCTAAGAAAGACAAATAAGCATTTGCCACAAAGAATAACCTCTTACTGCAGTGGAACCTCGATTTAACGAACCTCTATGTAACAAAGTCCTCGGTATAACGAACGATACTACAGTTTCAGCCCGGCTAAAGTTACAGTAAAATGTATGGCACAGAACCTCGCTATAACGAACCCTCATTATAACGAACCAATTTCCCCAGTCCCTTGGCACTTCGTTAAATCGAGGTTCCACTGCACTTAGCGCGAGGGCCGTACTGAGGATTATTGGCCCGAAATCATGGACGAACGCAGTAAGGTCTAGAGAGAAACGACATAGGGCAATATTCCCCAATACAGCTCGAGCAAGTGATGTTGTGACTGCCACGGGTGACTGATTATTTTTATTGGTGAGGAGAAACTCAATGCACAATTTTGAACACGAAATGAAACGACACGACACGGCGAAACAACACGGTTAAAAATTTGTTGCGATGTTGTAAATCCTGCCTAGTGGTGAACGAGCTGCACCGAGCGAAAGCCAAAATATACAAAACTACACTAGAAAACTGCACTGAGTAAAACTACACGGGGAAAAACTGCACAAACTACCATAAACAATACGGTTAAAATACATGCTACGTTACGTAATGACACAAAGAAAGCGCACACAAAACTTTACTACAATCAGCACTACTGCACAAGAACAATAAAAAACAATGCGTAACGATCTACAAATGTTACTAAGTACTGTATTATATGGTAGTCGGGAAAAAATTTTTATCGATTTCAATTTCCTCACCAAAATACACGGCTTGTGATCGCTTCGGTGGAAACAGTCTGTATGGCGCTGTAATGCCAGTTGTAGCAGTGTGCAATTGCAAACTTTAACTCTGTGCAAATTCCTCGTAAAAGGAACACTAATGCATGAGATGCAATCATGTCAGATTTCTCCAAGACTGCAAAACTAAGTTCTGGGTCACCAAGGTCTGTGAACCCAATGAGTTCACCAGATTCTTTATCCAGCACAAGGTTTGCCAAAACTTTCATCTCATCAAATAGCAAAACTACGTAGCGCTGGACATCAAAGTAATTTGATGTTTCAGACCTCAAGACTTCAAAGACTTCATTCTGAAAGCCTCTCTTTGGTTTGATAGCATTCCTGTAATCTTTCAGTCTTCTTTGACTGGGCAAGACAAGTACTCCACTATTCCTCAGCTCTTCATAGCAGGAAGGACTCTGCGCTGCCAGAGATAAACAGAATCTAATTACCATTGGATGATAGCGTACCCCTGTGCTGCTCTTCTGAAACATTTTTTGCTGTTCTTGCCAAAATAGCTTCATGAAAGGAGTTACTTTTGACTGTTCTGCGTCAAGTATCGTGATTAACTCTTTACTCAGTTCATTGTCTATCTCAATGCTTGACTTTTGTAATTCAGCACGCATTTCATGCAATTACTTTTCAAGCTGTACACACTTCAGTCTGTGTTTTTGTAAAGTTAGTTTTATCCTCTGAGGGTCTGTCTTAGACACTGGAGCTTTGAGCTGTGCAGGTTTTAGGCACTTTGAACTATGGGCTTGGGAAATACTTCTTGTTGATTCATTGCACAGCACACAGATCTCTTCTTCCTGGAGAAGAAGGCAACCCTTGCTTCTCCAAAATCCCATATGGGGAAACTGTTCCCGTGGTCGTTCTTCATCTTCCTCAGAGTCAGAAGTATTACTGTCTGAGTCAGTAGCACTTAAGGGGACAAGATGATGAAACAGTTTGCCAGTTCGCATTCCTGTACTCCACTACATAACTTGAATGCTTCAAGCTCTTTCATCAAGTTTGATAATGTGACATTCTGCACAGATCGACGATACTTGAGATATAAAGGATGATCATCAACCAAGTAACATCCATACACTTTAACAGTAAATGCCAGACTGTCATCTACAACAACTTCAAGATGTGGTAACATAAAAGGCGCGACCATCTTCTTGAAAACAGCTTTGTCAACAACTGGTTCTGAGTTATACCGCATGGAGAAAATAATGATCAAAAATTTGCTGCAAAATGCGATATTTGGATTTTGAAATATTGGGGAGTTTCAAAAGCGTTCTGTGAGCTCCAAATTAAATGAAATGGTCCCGTTTTAGACTTACATCATACCTCTATCCTTTCTTCACAAATTTATAAAATTGATATGAGCTTGCTTTCTTTTGCGTTTTTCATGAATAAAGTTAATTTGCCTCTACTCGGGGCACTGCTCTCCGCCATTTTACGGCTACCGACGCTCGTTTCAGTTTTCGTGAATAAAGGATAAAGAAGCAAGTCTGAAAAAAAATCCTTACCACGTTTCTATGTTCACTACAAGGTATCTCTGGGCAAAATATGAAGGTTTTCAATTTTCAACCATGTGCCACATTTTTCTATTTTCACTAGGTCAATTCACAAAGTCGCTCATAAAATCACATTTTTATACTTGATTGTGCAGATAATCTTCATTTATTGTCCATTGATTGTAAAGACCCACGTCTGATGAGTCAACTTATTTTTCATAAAGACTATATTTATTAAACGAAGTCGATCGAAAGTCGAGGTCCGTAAAATCGTAAACAAAGAACGAGGCTACTATCCAGCCATCTTGACCGAACAAGCTTAGTCAATAAACGATTTAATATGTAGCAAAAAAAATTGACGATATAATAAGAATCAAGGATGAGTTGTTTATTTCGAGAGCCGGAAAAGAATTTGAACTTTGTTTGTAGCACCGTTTAAAGTTTCTTTTGTTATTCGCTTTTTTGTGACTCCATCGCGTTCATTGCCCAAAATTACGAAGTTTGACTGAAAGTACGCTCCACGCAATCTTTTTCTTGCGCGGAATCAAGGCGGGTAAGATAGGCTCATCTTGCCCGCTCGGGTAGCCAATCAGAACGTAGGATTCGCTTCATATCCCATGCGCGCTGCCGCCAGTGTAATAAGTTTTCTACTTGATTTCTCGAAATTTGCTCTTGATATTTTATTTCATTAACCACATCAGCTCCTGTGGTTGTTCTTTTGCATCTTGTGAGTTTTCTAGGCTGGTCAGTGGCCGTTTAGGTCGGTTCTAGGTCGGTTGTAACCGCCTCCCGGTTTGCTCAATGGATAGAGCGCTGGACTGTTGTGCGGGAGGTCGAGGGTTCGAGCCCCGGCCGGACCAACACTCAGGGTCTTAAAATAATTGAGAAGAATTTGCTGCCTTTCTATAACATCAAGAAATGGTTAGATATTCTAGTCTTCTCGGATAGGGACGAATAAATGGAGGTCCCGTCTCCTGCAGGGTTGGGGTAGGAGACGTTAATTTCCCACACACGAGATTACTGTGTGATGGATGTCCTCCCCTGGGGTGGGATGGGTGGGAGGGTGGACTAGCACGAATGGTTCCTATGTTCCTTTCTAGTCCTTCCCCACTGCAAAACTTAATGCAGTGAAAATGGACTAAATTAAATTAAATTAAATTAAATGCATGCTGGGATCGGTAGAACCGAGACAGCTTTCACTCCTTCATCTTGCATACTTTTCTGTTATCAGCCGAACTATTAAAGGANTGGGGTAACGAAATAATTTGGATATATCAACAAAGTTGAAATGGTAAATTGGCCACCGTAACTATTACAAAATTTGAAAGACTGCCTAGTGTACCTTTCCTCTGTAGCTAACCAGATCGTCAGAATTTCTTTAGTTATTTAATTCTTTACAGTCAGTCAATACATTTCAGTAGGGGAGACACTCAACTCTGAACAGGAGCCATGTGGCTTACCCTGCTTAAACATACCGTGTAGACCATCAGTTTTATTGGTCTTCCAGGTTCGGTGGTCTTCCAGCACGGGTATTCCTACAGAATTTTGTTATATTTCCCTCTCAGATAACAACTTACTTATGTTTTATTTTCCTACTCAGGCTCTTGGATATGCCAGGAGAACAGAAGGGGGAGGATGGACTTTTTCTCCAGCAGCTGTGAAAATAATTTCTGAGTATTGAAACAAGTAGGTACATTGTTCTTCTGATCTTCAAATACCTTTCCTGTACACCTTTAATTTTTTTACTTAAAAGCACTTACATTGACTTTAGTATTGAAGCAATATTTTTGGAAACTAGCACGCTGTGTTACTCCCAAAAGTATCGAGGGTGAGTAACAGAAAAGGTTTTTCCAAATGTTACCCACTCCATCCAGCATGGCTTAAGAGGAAATATGAGATCAAAGCGATGACCATCAAAATCTGGAATACTTCATGGTGTTGTAAAAAAAGGGTGTTTTGTTTTGGGTTCAGAACATAAGAATACCCTCCCATATTTACTGCGAGTTAAAGAAGACCTTGAGCTACTAACATTCTTGCTCCTATGCAGCTATAAGAAGTTGAGTCACATCTCTGTATCACCTCATCTGTAATCATTGGTACATTGCTGAGTGAATTCTATTTGTCAGGTTTCCACATATTTTTGAAACTTTGGCTAAGATGTCACCAAATGATCGGTGCTTTACAAAGGACTTAGATGAAGATGAAAAGGGGTAAGCTTTACAATTCAGAAGACAGAGAATTGAGTCATTGTTTTTCCTGATCTCTCCTAAGTGTTGAAAAGACTAACTAAAATAGACTATGAATTTCTGTTGGGTCTGAATATTTTGGCTTTCATTCAGACATCTACTGATTAGAATTCTCAGTTTTGCTGAGCTTGGAGAGAATTCAATCATGATTTCTGATTAGAGTCTGGAATTGAAAAAGGGTTAAGTCACGGTGTGTTAGCTAAATTAAAACTAAAGGAGGCAGCGATATTTCATATCGATTTTACTTTGCTTCGCTTTTTTACAATACGACAAGCTATTTAACATTTGGTTGCAGCTCATTTAGTATTGCTTGAATATTTTGGAAGTAAACAAGAAAGAATTGACTTGAAGTTTACGATTTTGCAGGTCTGAACTATTATCAGAGATTCAGGACTGGCTGAAAACAGTACCTTCTTTCCAACTAGAACCTGTGAAATGTGGCAGTATCAGTTTAGATGATCCAGTTGTAGAGGCTATAGAACAGGTGGTGCTGAGTACCAAGGTAAAGATATCATTGGCAAAGTAGCATTGAAAGAGTGATACGCAGGCCTTTTGTCTTGTTGCTGAACATGTGATTGTAGCTTATCTTAAAGTCAACGAAGGTTCGCAGGTATTCGGCTGAACATTTTACTTCGGCATGGTGTCATTATCAATACTTAAGGCTCCATTACCGTTCTTATCATTTTATTTCGTTTCCTCGTTTAAAATTGGATTAAGATTGAATTGACACCAATGTCAAGATGATGTAATACCGTGTAAGCCAGAGTGGCTGTTCTGTTCCCGGCCGCATGAACTGTCTGCCAGAGGAGGTACTTTGCTTTACAAGTTTGGTATCTGAGCTTTTGGGATTTGTGAAAATTTTCCAGCTTTGTTCTCCTGCTTTTTTTTCAATGATCAATTTATGGTGATGTTTGTTCCAAGGAAGCTTCCGAGGAGCTGTGTGATACATTCCTTTTCGCCACTCACACAACGGTCAACACTGCTTCTCGGAGCAAATCATCTGTTATAACTTTGTAAGAAATCGCTGATCTCACAAAGATGAAACAAGGGAGATAAAGTATGTTCTTTCATAATGGCTATCTGAGGTTGAAGAGAGAAGGGAGAAGGACACTGAAGATGGATCTATTTCACATCAACTTTACTTTTGGACATTTGCTTTAGACATGTATCTTAATGTCTCAAATTAAATAAGATGATTTTCTCAAGCATTATCTCTGGCGATGGTCTACATCTGGCATCCTTATCTGATCTCAAAATATGTTGAACAGATACTCTACTACTAAGAGATTGCAGTAGATATCAACAAGGCTTATTTTTTATCACAAGGCATTAAACCACAGACCCAAGGCAGTTAAAGTACGTGTGCGGCCTCACCTCCTCTTCAAAGTAAGTTGCCAAGCCTTCGTTATTATTTTTGAAAGGAAACGTGCAGGGGCGACTGTGTTGTGAATACTTAAAATTGGTTTCATTAAGAGGTGACTTCATTCAGATACTTTCCAACTGTTGGTGGTAGTTACAATGTCGCTATCAGGTGTTGCAGAATAACTTAAACAAAATTAACCAGTTGAATTTCAGGAAACGAAAACAGTTTCAACTATTTTCAATCGTACCAATCAGTGCCAATGATCAAAGGGAGAAAAAGTGGCAGAGAGTCTGCTCATTTCTTTCAATAAGATTTGTCAGTTTTGTGTAATTGGACCTGCTAACAGCACATGTATCTTCTTTCTACTTAGAGTGCTTTTACAATTTAAATATGTCATTTCCATTTCCTCTTGATCCCCACGTTTGTGGCCAAATACAGTACATCTTTAATGGCAATGATCGCGCTTTAATTTAAAAAAATAACTCGGTCTTTTTGAGATGTGGTTTTCCATTGAAACTGTCATCCATTACTAGATCGTTTTTTTCAGTCAAGTTTCATAGAGAGAAAGTCAATTTTTTACAATTGTAAAACTGCACAGTGTGAACCCAGCTGATTTACTTACAAGTATAAAATTGCAGAGTGTGACTCACTGTTTCTCCCGCAGCCATCTGACCATCAGGGAGCTGTTCTCCCTGATAACGATGCAAAGTTTGAGCTATTCGACCGAGTAGTCAACGTCAAACTGAATGTGGCTGTTCCGTTTGGACTAAGGGGAACCATTATTGGAATTCACGAGGGTATGAGGTAGCTTTGTTGCTGTTATTTTGGTTTAAATGCTTTATTTTTAATTTTTATAGCTTAATTCCATCTCGTATTTTTGTATTATTAGGTCCCAGCTCGTCTGATGTTCTTTATGAAATTATCTTTGATGAACCATTCCTCAGTGGATTGGCTTTAAGGTAGGAAACTTTGCTTACTTTTGCTGGATGAGACAATTACAGGTGATGAGTAAAGTTGCAGAGTGGTTGCCCTAAGTGACACTGGTTTTCTCAGTCTCCCACACAAAGCTATCAACTTTTCTTAAATAAGAAAGAACTAAGAATTATCACTGTGGAGTTGAAATATAGAGATTTACTCAAAGTTTAAGTTGTGTTATAAATTTATGTTTTTGTACTCGTTTTTCCTGTAGGTGTTCATCCAAAAATGTGTTCTTGCTTGAAGCTGTGGCACTTATTAATATCAGTTATGGTGAGCGATGTGAAGCTAAGAAAGTTGAAGGAAAATCAGGTAGCAATGCTTCATTCGGCACAAACCTGGGCAGCTCACCTCAGCTGAACAAGGAGAGCAAAGGCAGTCAATGCAAATCAGCAGACAGCAGGCTAGATTCTTCAGGTATTGTTATGATATAGCATCATTTTCAAACGCAGAATGAAATTTTATTAGATTTGTTATTTCTAAAGGAATCCTTGGTTACTCAAATGCCTTCAATAATCAACGAACTGTATCTCAGCGTAACGGCCCTCCGAAATCAGCTACTAGCAGTACAACGCTAAGAATACCGGGGATTCAAGGCAGAGGGTCCTCACAAGCCCAGGTTAATATTAGCAAAAAAATTGACAGGTCAGTATGTTTATATAAAATCATACTTAATTAAATTTTTGAAAGAAAGGCATCCAATCGAGGGAGATTACGTCAATTACACCCCAGTAGATACACATTTTTGAAATCTAAAACTACAAGTGAATGAAGATATCAGCTTGGAATTGAATTCGTTGTAAATGGCGTAAGATCTAAACAATATCGAGTCCCATTGTTAGGCCATTATGTTTTTTTGCTACTCTATTCTAAAAGAGTGAAATATATACTTACAAGGAATAGTACTGGATGGAATTGATGAAATTGACTTTCTGATGGTACCATCACTAGAAATGTTTAGTAATCTGCTGTTGCACGCCTTCTACATACCGATAAAATTGTGTAAAGGGGGTAGACCATTGCGTTTGTTCGAGGAAGTCTGCCAACACTATGTCCTCAGGAACTGGACTATGTCAGGGTTGGAGCATGAAACCATAGTATGAATCCAAAGTGACTTGGGAATAAAGGTCCTGACGAACCCTCAGAGGGAGTGATTTTGATATCTTGAATGAGTGAGAGTGCGGAAGCCAAATCAGTTTCTTGTCACTGAACCGTTTTTCCAAGCAGGCGTGACTTAGTCACCCATTCAATTACAGCATTTCCAATGAAGATTGAAGAAATATTATTAACATTGCCTCGCTTTACTCGGGTGGGGACTGCTCATCTTTAGTAAACAGTTTTCTCTGGGTATGAATGTGGAGAGAAAATTCACCACCTTAGTGATGTTCAGTAACCAGTTTGACCGCTTTCCTCCTGTCACAGCATATTTGAGGTTTTCTTTTCATCATAGGACTGTTAGTGAGAGGAATACACCAGACCTAACGCCTCCTGGAATTCCAAAGGTAGGAGTATTCATGTCGGACAAAGCATACACTATGCAACAAATATATTTTATCAGGAAACAGGGGACTATGCAGTCCTTCTAGGGGAGGTGTACTTAACAAGTAATACTGGACTTTCGGACAAGGAATTTTTATTGTGTTTTCATAGAAAATTACGTACCTTTTGCCTTTTAATCGCCAGGTTGCTGACATCTCAACTAATCAGTCCAGTAATAGTCCAAGCGAATTTGCCGACATGTGGAAAGAGCTTAAACTTAAAGAAAATAGTCCTGGTGCCTTCGATCTCCCAGGAAACAGCCCTGAACACAAGAGCAACGACAAAGTCCAGGATACGAAAGAAAGCGAAGTGCTGATCAAGGTCTGATGCGACTGAATTGTACAAGTATCTTAATTATTACTTCATGCTAGTTAGTTTTAGTTAAGGAAAATTCTGAGAAGCTAACGGTGTTTATTCGGGATCAAGTGGACTTGCTTGCGTGAGGTGAAATGTACAGCATTTTAAACCATGAAATGTGTTCCTTTCTCAATCAGGCCTTCATTGGACATAAGTATATTTTGTGTGCATGCTTGGCAAATTACAAAGAATTCCTCCTGCCGAAACATTAAAATGCAATTCAAACTTTATTAACACTCCCAACGGGGCTTTCGATGTTAATCATCTAAAACTAAAGTATTTAAGTTAAAATTACGATACAGTCGCTACAAAATGACGTTGGGGACTTTGAGAGCATTTGGCAAAATTCCTTATAGCATGAGCTGCGTCTTATCTGGGTTCAGAAGATTATCGAATCACCAGTTAGGAATTCTGAGGATATCACCCCTTATATCAGAGACTGATTCGGTCCAGTCTTAGATTGGAAAAGAGATATAGAGTTTAGAGTCATTAACGTAGCTTTCAGATAAACAATGCCGGAACACGGATGACAGATCGTTCAAGTAGATCGTACTAAGTAGGATAGGCCCCAGGATACAGCCTTTTGGTACGCCACAAGGTAAGCAGAGCTGGCAGAACTCTCAAAAACTGTGATTTCCATTCCGATGTAAAAGGAATTGGTTGTCCGCGTATAATTGTGTCCTTTTAACAGAACAGTAAGCTACCTCGTGTGTTTGATTCAGCATTAGTTGACCTAAACATAAACAATTACTTGCTTATTAGCCTTCCCGTGTCCTGCATCTTCATGGAATGTTCAATAGGATAGTCGTTCAAAGTAAAAGGTTTCGTTAACGTTTTGTCTCACCCTTCTGCTGTTTTGTTGAAGTGAAGGGTTGTTTTGTCATTTACAGGAAGGAACAAGGGCTCTTCGTGAACTCCTTCAGATTGGCAAGGCACAGGAACCCAAGATAGACAAGCAACTAGACAGACCTGAACAAAAAAACCTTACGGGCAAACATTTGACAGTTGATGAACTGTTTCGCAGTCATAGTGAGATTACAGTCATTGTTAAACTCGCAAGAACGTGGACACCTGAAATAAGATCAGAACACGCAAACAAATCACAAAATATAAGCTTTCACCAACTGCAACTATCTCACATCTGATTTTCTTCTTCCTCTTGACGTATAAACAATTCAAACTTTTTCAGTGTCCACGGTTTTGTGAGATTGAGAGTTAGGTAGGCTTTTCTCTGTAGCTAATTAATATCCCTTTCCACCGACTTTGGCTGAAAGTTTAATATGATTTACTGATCAACTTTCACTCGATAGGCCCTTTTCACTCTCTTGACCATCTATGTTGTTTGCCTTTGCAACAAAAGAAAGAATTTGCATTAAAGAAAGAGTAATAATACTAATTTGGATAAGTATTTACTAAAACAGTGGATAGCTTTGAAGGCACGGTCTGATTGGTTACTCGAATTCCGTCCATCCCTCACCATTCACCTCCGAACATCGTGCACAAAATTTGCGCCCGAAAATATTGTAATCGTTGAAAGAATAACTAAGTTAAGGTCATCCACTAATATGGCCGACTTTCATTATTTAGAAACACCTGTCTGGCTGCCGTGGCGTCATGCTTCACTTAATCCATCCCTGCTAGCCCGGTGTATTACGAGGTCAAAAGACTCGAAAAGATTGGGTTAAGGTGTTTTTGTGCTAGAATTTAAAACTACGCACAGAATATGCCACTCATCAAAGTAAAATTTGCTAATTGTGAGAATGAAAGTAGCGTCGCTTTCTCGCAAAAATGTGTTTTAGAATAATTAATATTAAGTTCATTCATTCAATGACACGGTCATGTTGCTTACTTACTTCAGCCAGAAATCAATTATCCGTAGGAAGTACAATTTGGGAGAACTAAACTGACGAGCTCAGGTGTAACTGCTGCCATATGAATACTTTTTATTTGTCTCAAGGCTCTGCCCAAAGAACTATGCAACCGTTTCCGCTGGTAACCTTACCGTACCACACGCGGTAAGTTTTTCTTTTGTTGTAGTGAGTTCACCACAAAAAATGAAAGCTGAGATGCCAGTGTTGTATTCTGGGGTACTAGGGATGCTACATGTTCGGTTCGTATGTAAGTCTGTTTATGAAGTCTTTGTTATATGTTTTTTGAATATTTTTTGTTCCCTCTTAAACGAAAGCAATAACCGTTTGATTTTCTTACGTTTAAATGTATATGAAATCAACCAGTCTAATTGCCCGACGAAAAAAAAACCAACAACGCAGCAGGGAACATCGCAATCCTGCCACAAATTAGAGCCAAATACATCAAAAAAAAGTCCCACTTATCGCTGAAATATTCAATCTTTCAAGTGCAAGGGCGTAGCCAGGGGGGATCCTGGGGTGCTCGTGACCCCCCCTTGGTAGATCTTCTTTAGAGCAAACAACCTACAATATTCAGGTGGCGAAAACGCCATGACAATATCTTGGCCGTAAAAGCCATTGATACGAGTCTTCCTGCCGCGATAATACGTCTGAGCCCGCTGATATACGCGGGAGAGCAGCGGTGTAAATGGGGAGTAGCCTCTGTGACCCACCCCCGTTGAAAAATCCTGGCTGCGCCCCTGAAGTGGTTGACAATTGCAAAAGGAAAAACTGAGCATTTAGTTTTATTTTTACTGAGACAGGAACAAGCCTACTATTTTAACTTTCTGCGTCAAGAAAAATCATTATCAGCCAAAAGTGACAGTGATCAACGCCTGTTGTTGTTTATCCATAAACTGAGTTGATTTCACCATCACACGGGAACAGTTTGGAAACTTATCTGTATTTTCTTTTTTTTTTTTTTTACCAACATTTCAGAAGTTCACCGTCATTAGCCTTATTTGCCTGGTGTCGGTCGTCTGGTCTTCCACCACCATATTATCACCATACTCCAGCAGCAGAGGTTTGCTCGCTTCATTTAACATTTGCAGTAGTTACGCTTAATTTTGTTCAAGTATAGCGGCAGGGTGTATTTGTTCATTGTTTTTTTTCCTAACTCTCTGCTATTTTATTCCTCGTCAGAAAGTACTTTTATAGTGATTATGATTTGAAAACTACACAGCAAGTTACGTTTTAAGCAAACTTTCGTTTTCAAGATAAAACTCGATGAAAGAGTTTTGAGAATTGCGAAAAATGGCCGATCTTCTGACCGCACTCAACACACCGTCTGCTAATGTTGTGGGTGTTGGGGAAAGAGAGGAGGGATGCTGAGCTTTTCGTTAATAATACCTTATTATGCTAACATTCATTTCAGGGAGTAATTGCCGTTGTCGAGTTAGCCAACGGGTTTAAATTTACCGGGAGTGTGTGTAGCGATCACGTCGAAGCCATGGATAGTGCATCATCTGTCGCACTGTTTCAATTGGTGAGTGAAACCTTCTCGTTTGGACATTAGAGAACGCTACTCTGTAACCATATGCCTTCTGATTATTACTACATGGTTGCGACGCTCTAGCCTGCGTTTAAAGTGTTATGGGGATTCCTATGCACTGATTTACGCATCCTCTACTGCTCTTAACACCACCCATGACTCCTTGCAAAAGAGCGTAGGCACATTCGGATAACTTGATGGGCTTTCTCAATTAATGGACGAACTAATAGGGCCCGGTAACCTTCTCTTTTATTGTATAATTTTAATGTAAAACTGATCTTTTTAAGGCATGAAAAATTTGAAAAGTAAATCAATCGAAACGAGAAAAGATGTAGATCAAAGCATGCACAAAGCCGTAACTCGAGGATACAAATTTTTACCTTCAAGAAAACGACTCATAATGTCTTTTGAGAATTGCTTAATTTCCCAAAAGGGGTAAACTACATTGTTAAGTATGCTCCAGTCTTTCTACCTATTCAGTTTTCAAGTATTACTCTGAAGTTTGAAAAATCGATCGACATTTTTTCTCAACTTAGAAGAATTGCGAACAGAGTAGAGCTAGTAGATAAGATCACCCCGCTCCTACCTTTTCGTTTCTCTTCCTTAGTGCTCTGATTCCCGTGGTGTGACGTTTTACATACTTTGTTTGCAATACATTACTTATGTTTCAGCCACGAATCATGCCGAACATTCCAGGGCCACGACAACTTGTCCCGCAGCATCAATTTTCCCCAGTCTTCTTTTCATCACCGCCCAATCCCGTAACACCGCAAACCTTTGCTGGCCTTGCACCTCTGCCCTCCCAAAAACCTTTACGTCAGCTATCACCTCAATCTCAGCCTTGTACATTAAGCACAAGAAGTCAAGATCCACCAAAAAGGGAGGGTCCTCAGTCTGCTCAGCAAAGAAAAAGTGGAACTCTGAACAGTTCGGCAGTGCCTTTCATTCCATTGCAGGCGAGTTATTTCTTTGACGTCATACCGTATAGAGGTGTAATTTAGGAAATAACTCAGTAGTGAAAACGTCTCCGTCTATGAAATCTCGTGCCACTTCGCGATATCCTTCGTTAACAAATGGTAAACACCACAGCGTACACTATTGAGTTATGGATGCACGCGGAAGTTTCTAAGCACGAAAGAAGCGTGAGAGTCGCGTCAGAGCGCGCGCTTTACTTTGGTTATGTTTTAATTGAATTTGGGTATGTCTTAAAAGAAGTGTGTTGGTTTGATGGCATTGACAAGTACTTCTTAGTAATCTTTGTTTTCCCGGAGAATGGTGATATCTTGTTCTGGCTTTCATTTTTAGAATCGATAATTAAATATTGTTATGGCGTCAAGGCAGCTTCGCTTGTTTACCAAAACACTATAACTGCTGCTGTATTGGTGTGAGTGATTTAAACTATAGTCTCATGTAAACGCTTTTTCATTCCAGCACGTGTTCATATATGTGTTTTCCGACTATGATTTATTTCTAATTGTAGAAAGCAATCTTTTGCCTCTTTTATTTTAGGTTTCCAGGAGGAGTTCGTCACGGTCACAATCGTCACCAATAACATCGCAGCAGACGGCAGTCAAAGAGACTCCAGAAAGTTCTAAACTGGATGGAAGTCGACAAAAAGATCAGAGTCAAGACATTGAGTATCAAGGAACTGGCGAAATTCTCCCGAGAAATTTGTGTTCAGAATTATCAGCTAACAACGTTACTGCTCAGTCAGATCTGCCAGAAACGAATTCTCTGTTCGTGAACAAAACAGATAAAGCTGGCATCCCTCTCAAAAGAACATCAATTTCATCTAAAAGGTTGTTAGCTCCTAGTTTCTTCTCAAAAAAGAGCTAACTTTGTTTACTTATTTTGTTTATTCGGCTTTCCCTTTTGTAACAATCCACCTATCAAAGGAATGGAGGTTGTGAAGAGTTCGCAGGAATTGTTCTCCGGTCAATCACAGCCGTGACAAGTATCCATCACTTTTAGGGTAACAGGTTTGTCACACTACAGTGTTGTTCCCTTCTCGAATTTTAGATGACCCGTAAGAGACGTCAAGCCTTAAAGGTCGCGCCGTTCAGATTTCACAAATTTCACAATGCACGAGTTTAGTCCAGGTTTATTATGATTTTCTGCTCAATGGGGAAAGACAATCGATAATGACTTCCGGTTTTTTAATTATTTTTAAGAGGATTTTTAAAAGATTCTTACTCGTACAAGCAATTTCTTAAGTCGACTTGTTTTATGTGTATCTAAAGAAAGCTGGATCTTTTGGGAAGCCTTTAATTTCTTCTGGGGGTGTTTAGTGAGTGTGGTTACGTAGAGAGAGAAGCTATTCCTTCAGCTGGAATGTTTCCCAATTGATGAAATAAATATTCGTTTTCTGCTGTCAAATTCCATTTCCTAGTTAATGAATTGTTTGAAAATTAACCTAAAACCAAGCATCATCACGCTGAAATGTAATTGTGAGTAGCATAAAAAGAGGTGGGCCATCAATTTTTGTGAGGTTTCGTAAAAGAGGGTCGGTCAGTCGGTCGGTCTGGAAATCAAAAAATTAATCAAGGAGAGAGGATTTAAGCGTACGCTTTCGAACTGTTTTCCTTATCCTAATGTTCCCTGTTTCTGACAGAATATACAGATTGGAAAGTTAGGTCTAAACAAATGAAGTCGATTAGGATCAATTTTACTATATGTAGTGTCGGCCGACATGGCGACCGACATATCGGTCGATATGTCGGTGGATAGTCGGTCGATGCTCGGTCGATAGGTCGGTCGATAGTCGGAAGATAGTCGGTCGACCTGTCGACCGACAGATGGAGTGTCGCGTCTCGGAGGAATATCGGTCAAGTGTCGGTGGAATATCGGTCAAGTGTCAGTGGTGTATCAGCCGAGTGTCGGTAGTCTATCGGCCAAGTGTCTGAACTTTCTCGGTAAGTATAGTTTGAACGTCGCTCGTGTGGTTGTGTATTGTTGCAGTGTCGGTATAGAAAAATTTGATTTGAAGGCATAAACTTTCAGGTATATGATTAAGATAAGAAACGACTTATGAGTGGCGTGGTGAATTTAAAAAGTCTGGGGGTGATTTATTTACTACAACATGAGCCACTCACGAATTGAAGTCCGTTAAGCAAGTAACAATAACGGGAAAGTGAAAATCCTCATAAACGCAAATCCTTGCGTCACCGTCCCACTTTAAGAAAAAGTTAGCACCTATGATAAACTTTCCGAAGACCTAATCTCTTTATGGTTCAATCTGCACTTTTCTCTCGAATATTTTCCCTTTATTTTTTAGACTTTAGCTTTTTCCTACTCGCCTAACGGGAGCTTTACAATAACTAATGAGTAATGCAAATCGCAGGGCCGTCACTCCACGGGAATAAACTCCAGCCGAGTAACATGCTTTTTAGTCTTTAGTTCACACATGCCTATGGTACAGCCGGAACTGGCTGAAGTGCATCTCTTCAAATAGCAATAATTCTGAGACAGTTAATATTAAACCAATGAAACTTTATTCAGACAAGTAAAAACATCAACAAAAATTTTCTCAACAAAGATTATTTAAATTACTTTGTGTCCAAGAAGCTTGTAAAACAACACACTCGTATAGATTTACTCCGGTGTGGGGGTATGGAACCAAGCCTACTAGAGGGTGGGGGATGATGGTAGCAGAAAGAGACGACCTTTTTTTCCTATGTGTTGGGTCCCGTACGAATACAGTGGTTTTGACTGATTCCCTTAAAGGGGATACTGTTCAGCAATGTCATCGACCAGCCTTCGAAAGCATCCATTTGGGTGAGGCTCACCATACCACCTTCGCCACGTGAATTCCTGTAGGTATTCAAGGAGAAAGTCAGGGTTTGTGTTTCCCTTCATTTTCTTTAAATTTTCCTTTGCCGTACACCAGTTGCTTTCAGCATTCTGTGTATGGACTCCGGTTACTGGATCAACAAAATGTAGCGAATGATTCACCGCCCCGTGTTGTAAACCGAGTCTTCTCTGGAGTTGCCGATAAGCCGCCCACTGGTCTGAGTACACTATGGAGCCAGGTTGAACCTTCCGTTAAATGATACGCAAAAGAGGCGCTGCATTGCGTCGCCTTACGAACTGTAGGTATGGTCGGGCTGGAGCATACTGTGTGTCAAACAACCCCAGTACCCATCACACTCTTCGAGGCCGACGCCCCCTTTGAAACTGCAAAGGAATAACAATTACAGCTGCATGAATTAAAATATTATGAAAAGAATCATTGGAAATATGGTACCTTAAAGATGGGAGAGGGCGGAGGTGATACGCCGCGCTCCCAAAAATCTTTAGCATCAGATTAAATGCCTCAGTTTGGTTCTGTAATGAGAGGATGGAAACAGCTGAGGTCAGCTAGTGAGTACATTTCACATTTTCCTACACTCTGACAAACGTGCCAGTCGTGAGTTCATGAACTGTATGTACTCGCAACGCTTGCGTTCTCTTAGAAACTACGACCGTTGTACAGTGGAATGCAGATTTCTCGAATACTCTATTTTCCGAAAATCCCCTTTTTTGGAACCAAAATTCGTTTCCCTTGCCTTTACTTCACGGTAATTTTACTCCCGCTTTCTCGAAGCTCCCCATTTTTCGAACAAATTGCAATTTCCGTTTATGGTTCGAAATTCGGTATTCCACTGTACGTTTTTTAGTTCGTACCCTTCACTGACAAGTGATGTCAGCCAGATGTCAACAGAAAAAGTTAAACAATTATGTCAACATAATTTGTTGGAGTTTACTTTAAAAATACAGATACCATTTTTCGCCGAAGGACACCCTCTTGGGTCTGAACCCACCTAACTCATGACTACTCGAACGCCTGTACTTCCAATTTTCTTACCTTGGACTTGTGATTAAACTTTGATTCGTCGATCTGCATAATCACACCTGGTCCGCCTAACTGTGGGATCGGGTGACGCAACAATGCTTCCCATGCAACTTGCCGACACTTTCGTGCGAACTTGCCTAAAACTTTCTGTGAGGCCGTTCCTTCAATTTCCATCATTCGTAACGAACTCTTGTGCGCCCATTTCCAGAGAAATTGCAACTGCCGTGCGATCGAAATTTTGCTTCCAGAGAAATACGAATGAACTCTCACTGACAAAGAGCGTCGACAACGGTGACATCTCCTGTTCAAAAGTTAACTTTAAGCTATATAGGTATGTCCCGTTCCAAGGGTATAGATTTTGACCATTTCGGTCTGAAATAGGCTGTTGTTTTCGAATTTGAAGCCCTTCTCAAGATTTTACGAAAACCGTTTACAAACCGTTATCGCAAATCCTGGGTCCACTCCAACTGGTCTGAAATAGTTAAAAGCTATCGAATTTTAGCTCAGGTCGGCGGGGAAAATCTGTAGTTTTATTAATTAAAATTGCAATTGAAATTACTTACCAAATGTATCCGTCCCCATTGCGCAGATGGCGAATGAGACGCATTGCATTCCTTCAATTCCCGCAGTCGACATTTCTTTTCAGTAGTCTGTTCCTTTGCAAAAAATTTATAAGGCGGAGTTTTCCTCTACTGCTTTTTGCAAAAATAAGGGAACAAAGAACTCGAAAAAAGTGGGGCCTTTTAGGAAGCTTGGCTTTTGAGATAAAATGTAAATCGAATCCCTTTTAGCCTGCGTAGCTTGCGGTATTGTAGGCGCGTGCGAAATAAAGTTTTGCCGGCGAAGCTCCTAGAAGCGGGCGGCGAAGCCGCGAAAAATACCGCTTGCCAGAGAACTTGGGTATTTTGAATGCCGCCCACCTTTATCGCCTCATTGGCAAAGATTGACAGGCCATACTGATTCCCTTCCTGTGTGAAAACATATATAGAACCTTTTAGAGTTTTGTTGAATCAGTTCTTTGCTCTCACGAGCATGTGTGAGGGATTTTCTTCTTTTAAAGGATATGAGTGGTGACTATTGGAAATTTCCCTAGAAAAATGGCGCTGAAGGTGGTAATTTGGTATTAAATGCCATTTTGTGTGTAAAGCTTCTTTCAAGTTTGACACTGATCGGATTGCTGGTATAGTGTTAAAAAAGATAAATGATCTTTATTTAATTTCAACGAAACTCCTTTTTGGGAATTTTATTTCTGAGAGTAGTTTTGCTACCAAGGTTGGAGCTAGGTTGAACCTTCCGTTGAATAATACGCAAAAGAGTCGCTGCATTGCGTCGCCTTACGAGCTGTAGGTATGGTCGGGCTGGAGCATACTGTGTGTCAAACAACCCCAGTACCCATCTCTCTCTTGGAGGCCGACGGGAACAGCATGACAGCCCTTGACGTACGTGTGCAGGACTTTGATAAACCACGAACAGCGAGAGGCACCGTGTCGCAACACCCCCCATTGCTCTTGTACTTCATGACCGAGACCAATGATCAGAACGTATTTTCATAATCAATCAGGTACAATGAAATAAGCCCAGTATTGCAGGCCCAAAGGAAAAACTGCTGACAAGAAAAAATGAAATTGCCTGGAAACGCAAAATGAAATTGATATAAGTTTAGCATCTGTTCTTTGTTCACAAAATCCAACACCCAAGTTTGCGGCAAAAAAGTAATTAGCGCGGAAGATAAGTCCTTTGAAGAGTTCATGTAACTTTTACACTTTTTTAATGTGAGAATTTCAGACAGAAGAAATTTTCTTGGAGACATGCCACTTTCTCACACTCCCTGATATCGACCCCAAGAGCGACACGGAAGAGGATTCGTTGCAGCTGCATTAGGTGTATTCGAGAACATCAACGCGTTATGGCTGCACTACAAAAGACATGTATGATATGTGTTTTATCGGATGGCCACACTCTGATGGACTGCCCTTACCGCTGCGAGTTTTGCGGCGTATCGGAGAAAAATTGTGAGTGCCATGATTCTAGTATTGTAAGCAGCGTTTTGGCGTTGGAGACTCCTGAAAAGGAGGGCAGAAGGACTGAAACGTCAACATCAACACCAGCACCGCCACAAGCAGCCAATGAGAAACGTAAAGGAAGTAACGATGACTGGTAAGCAAACTATCCCTAATTATAGATTTCGTTTGCAAAATAGTATATGCAGTAAAATATATGGATTATTGGAGGAAAAATATAGATAGCTATGGCCGTCGTGCAAGATTTAAAATCGAAATTTATCCTTATCAGTTTGTGGAATTATGAACAGGCGAACTAGTCTATAAATGGAGCAAAATTATAACTCCCTAACGAATAGGCCTTATTTCTTACTTTCGTATTTCCTTATTGCATTTTCAGGTGTGGGACAAGCAATAAAAGTGGACAAAAGAGGCCTGAAAAGACAGTGCCGGAAAAGAAATTCAAAGAGGCCAAGAATGACCTGCAGGCTGCTATGAAGCAATTGAAAAAATCGGAAGAACTCAGTAGGAAGAAGGAGGAGGAT